TCTCTCATGGTCATTATTTTAGATACTGACACTGTAAATGTATAGGCACATGTCTATTCAGACTTTAAAGGAATTAATATCAAAAACCCTTGATGGGGTTGTACTCTGTTGGACTTTCAGTACAAAGGTCAGTAAAGTACTTATCACAACACAGGATTTTCAACTGTGCAGATCCCATGTCATCTAAACCAAGTGAAATTCTGAACTGGTAGGCCACTGGCTAGCTGGTCAGCTTGTGGCACCCTCATCCTCACAACATCATCACAGGTGCCATGAGACCAAGCTGATTTCAGGGGTGCTTATGGTAGTATAAGGCTCAGCAAGATGCAGGTTTTGGCATACACAACCTACCAAAGATTAGGTAAAATCTTCTCATAAGGGTCCATGTGAAACCTTTTGACATAGTCTAGAAGCAACGAGAGACTGAGCACACCCAGGGCATGTGGACAGACAGTGGTGCTGTGTACCTCAGATGTAGGTGACTCAGACCAAAGGCCCCATCAGAAGCAGTAAGCTTGAAAGTCCTTTGCTCTCATTCCGTATGGGGAATCAGCAGATTCCCATCCCAAGCTAAAATTCCACCCTGGATCTCAGGTGCTTCCACCTTCTCCACAGACATGGGAAACTTTGGTTCCTATTACTTTGAATTTTCCAATGAAAGTTGAAGACCTGCTTAGAATTTTGTTTGAGGAGTACAGTTCCGATAGTGACCACAAGAGGCTAGAACAGGTCCCTCTGACCCTGCGTGGAGAGAGCCCATAGCAGAGTCTCCTTGTGCTTCCCTGACCCCAGCAGTAAGTTTACTCTGCAGTGCAGCAGTAGGAATTGGCAAAGGTAAGAGTGTTCCTGTAGCTTCTACAAATAGTCACAAAAAGGATGCAAAATGCATTATAGCTCAGCCACATAAAAGTTTCATAGTGTGAAATACAGAGAGACAGAGAGCTGGAGCTGGAGCAATGACAGTCTGCCATGGATGAAGAGGGCACATGAAAAGGCAAGGGGAGGTGAAGCCAGAGATTGATGGTGTGAGGGAAAGAAGCAGCTGAAGGCTTTAAGCATAGATGTTTCAAGAGGTTGAATTTACCTTAAATTTTTGCTCTTGGAGGTGTGAGGAATTCAAGAACCAGAACGTGGCCAAAACCTACAAGGTTTGGTAGGAGGTTTGTTTGTTTGTTTGTTTGTTAATGCTTAGTTCAGCATCCTGATCTTTGTACTTTTGTTAGCAGCTCATATTGTCATACACAGCCTGAATTTATTTTTTTTTTAACCATAGTATGCTTGTGCATACTAAAAGAATAGTTTCTGAAAGATATTAATGCCTTCTTGCTAGAGGAAACAACACATTCTATTACTGATATTGAAAGAATAATAAAATATGGGATACATGGTCAGTACCATGTGCCTAATTAGTATGTGTCAAGCCTCACAAGCTCTTGTTGAAGAAAAGCAAAAGATGTAGAAGAACTTCTCAAGTACCAGCAGAGGGCTGCAGGCGGGACCTGCTAGTTCTGTAAAGCTTTTTTCTTAGATCAACAGTGATATTTTCTAAAACCTACAAATTCCACTATCAGTTCTGAACACACATAAAACGATCACGTACATCATTTTTATACTAAGTGCCTAAGATTAAATCGAGTAATATAATGCATTTTTAGTAAGACTGTATTGCAGGAAATGAATCTGTTTCCTTATCTGTGACTTTACCAGGTAGTAGATTACCTGTGTTTCCAGTAGCATCCCCATTTGCTCTGGTTGGTACTGTTTTCTGGTGACTGCCTCTAGGTAGCTGACCTGCACATGTGATCTAAGCCCATACCAGTTTACAATTTCTAGTATACCACATTTAGTGAAAGGGGCTTCTACAAAATCTTTCTCAGCATTAGAGCTTCCCAAACCAACTCTGCTGTAACAAATTTTGTGAGTGTTTTTACAAAAATAAATTCAACTCAGAAAATATAATAGAAATTGTCTCCCTATCTCACAGGTTTGGGGTTCATTGAGAGCTCTTCTAAGCATCCCACATGCACACTGACTTACTGCAGAAACAAATAAGTAAACACATTATCTTTCTGAAGAAGGCATTCTATGATTCTGTGATAGTTCCAACACTGGTTTAACTGCAGTGACCCTAACAGCTTCAGATACCTCCAACAGATGATGATTCTGTAGTCAAGGGCTTTTAAAATCATTATAGCTCTAGTCTTAATTGTAGTCCTATATAGCCCTATAAATGCAGCCCTAATTGCACTTGTCCTTTATAACAAAGCCTGCACATCTGAGGACATGGCAGTCACAACCTCATCAACTCTGAAAATACAAGGGAAAAAAGGGACATGTCTTGCAAATCACATCCCTGGGTCTCTAAAGCACTCCACAAAAAAATTTGTCTCAGATCTAAAATTACTCACTATCTTCATTAGCAGACTGGATTACAGAACAGAATACGCTTATTAAATTTGCAGGCAATGCTGGGTTGGAAGTTAGAGCTTTGCAAATCTGTGATAAGAATCTGAATAAAGCTGACAGCCTAAGTGCAAATTTCTCTGGCAATGCTAATTGCAAGTCAGAGAATGATAAAATGGTGCTAGAAAGCGCAGGAAAAGATCTAGTGGCTATGACAACTCACACGCTAGCAATGAGTCAGTTATCATTCCACTGCAAAAAGGAGCCCTCAATTGGCTGTATAAATAGAACCAACCCTTCTCTCTAAGGAATATGAAACAAAAGTTTTCATGGTGCTGCTAGCGCTACAGCTCAGCACCATGCAGAGCTTTGCATGGAATCCACCTGGAGATTGCAGGGAGAGACGAGCAATGCTCTAGAAAACCTGGCCATTGAGGAAGAGCTGACTGACTGACAGGTAAATCTAATCCAAAGCACAGCTCCACACACTGAAGGCGAGAGCCTAGCGTGCTGGGGCATGCTGTCTGGTCTGGGGTCCACACCATGGCTGCAGGAGTCGATAGCAACAGCCTAGGCGGAGGCACCAGAGCACACTGAAGGAAACAAGTAACTCGTGAAGATGGGGAAGGAGTGCGTGTGTATGCATATGCATGCAGAAACATGCAGCAGCAAGGGTTATTCCACACTGAGGCACAGACCTACTGATTCAGAGCTGCGATGGGAAATAAAGCAATATCCCCGAGTGTAAGCATGTGCTGCCAACTTGCCACAAATGGTTTGAGGCTCCCTTGGAGCTAGGATAGGTAAGCACACATTTCAAGGCATCTTTTATTTGCTATTATTCTCTTTCTCAATACTACCCTGCAAGTTTAGTAGCGTGCTTTTCGGCTCCCTTATGGATTGCTACAAAGGCCTCAAACTGGTAGCATGGATCTGAGCAGCACTTCAAAAGAAACAGTTCCCATTTTAGTACATGGCAGCTTATTATTACCTTTCATTTTTGTTCTAACAGGCAGATTTCATACTACATGATGGTGCTAACAGAAAAGCACTTTCTCCACAGATAAATTTAGGAGACACATACGCTTCATAAAAGCTCCAGAATGTCACTAGTAGCACTCAAGTGCTTTGTAATTTGACCCAAAAGAAAAAGAGGCAAGCCTAATCTAAACCAGCTATTGTTGTTATAATGGCCAATTCCTCATTTGTCCATTTAGGACTACATTTTGTTCCTGGAAAACCCATTACAATTTTGTTCATTGTTCAAATACCTTCTGCTTTTTCCTTTTTAAACTGTAATAATAATACACTAGTGTTCCCTAATGGTGGTTTGTCTGTTGCTCTGACTTTTCACAAAAACCTCATTAGAGTCACGAGTGCTGAGATCCGCATTATCTTCTATACAGAATGGAAAGCTTGCATACAGCAAGCATCCTTTTCCCCACTCTTTACCACAAATTCTGTGACCGTCAAACTCAACTCAGTAATTTTATGGTATAAGTCCTCTCTTTCCTACTTACACTGAGCATAAAAGGGCTTTTATGAATATACCACTTAAGGCTTACAGAAAATTGGTGCCTCTCTTTGTTCTGAGGGGTTTGGCTGAGCATTTTCCATACCCTTCTTTCCATAATTTCTGCATGAAGTCATTACAGACAGCCCAAACTTCTATACCATCCCCTCAAACAGATGAAATATATTATGCTAGGCCTTTGCTCACTAATGACGTTCTTCCATCCTTCTTTTGCAGCTGTGACTTCTGGTACAGTAATAGCTCACGGTTTACTGTTTTTAGCACCCACTAAGACTGTGCATTACCTGCAGCACACAATAGTAGCGTTACATTTCTCTTCAGTGAGATAGGGAAAAAAGACATACATACATTTATACATATTTATTGTATCTTTTTAAAAGTAGCATTTGCAGTTACTTTTAAGCATTCACCTCTTCTGCTTCAAATGTGCACTTACTGAGAAAAACATCTACTGGCTTCCAAGTCCAAGATTAATACCAAGAATAACACGTCAGAATCAAGCTTCATTGCTTGTTGGCAGCTTCTGTCATGAAAATATTATACAGTAACAAAAGCATAGAAAAGGTCTGTGTTAATCATTCGGCAATAGGCTGGGGCTGGATTAGCGTGACCACACCATCTTCTCATGCTGAAGCACAACACCACTTTCCTAAACCGAAGCTCACATAGTAACTTTCTTCCTTTCACATCCAGTAGGTAGACAGGGCAGTTGCTTTTTCTACAGTAGCTTCTTTAGCTGATAAGATTTCCTCATCATCTATAGGAAAACACTTGCTGTAGACCTTTATATTTAGAAATGTCTTCTCTTCATGTAACAGCAAGAAAAATACTTGAAATCTGGCATGTAGTTAAGAGAACTGGGAACAAACCAAATTTCATCCTCGGATAAACATACGTAACTACTATAGATTTTAGGCTAACCCACGCACAAAGTTTTACACATACTACAAACAGAAACAGAAGGTATCAGCAAAAGACTATTCTTACATTGTTTCAAATTAATTTGCAACTATACAATTTTAACTGTAATAGAAAAAGGGAAAGGAATATAACAGAACAGCTATGAAGAGAAATATTTTCCAAACTTTTATTTGTGCACATTCATCAGGTGAAAAAGATAACTTTTACAGCTTCTTTGGTGCCCAATATTCAGCATACAAAAATGTAAAAGACTATTCACAAATAAAACACAAGCTCAAACTGAAAAAAAAAAAAAAAAAAAAAGAAAAAATGTTTTAAGGTAGTGCACATCATGACAGCTTTGCTTATGAATACACAGAAATTACTGCAAAAATAAATAGAATGTCTTTTTAAAAGCAGCAATTTCATATCTTGTAAACTTCCGTTTTTACCATACAGCACTGTTAAGAGTAAAATCCAAAAGAACTGGAGTTTATACTGTGGCCACGAGCAAGTAAAAGAGTCTGTATTCTTCTGCTATAGTTGGTCCAGTTTTCCTTTTTGCTTTTAGTCCAATGTGCAGCAGTCTTTAAAGGTGCTTGGTTAGGGAACCTAACCATCAAGTGGTGAATTATAAAACTTATTTCCTGCTTTCAAACACGAATGGGTAAATCTGTTCCACAGCACTGGCAACAGCCTTTACATTTGGCCCTGAGACACATTAAAAAAAAAAAAAAAAAAAAGAAAGAAGCAGTAGGAAGAAAAAAATCAGGGAATCAGAAGTTAAAACAACAACAGAATCTTGAAAATAATATTTTTAGCTATCACAACTTTATACTCTAGACAGAAATAATTTCTTCCCCATTTCTCCCAACTTAAGAAGGTGTTCCTCTTATCACTTTTAACTTACAAGAAAATTGAAATCTGCAAGATGTCCTACACTGGTCAACGGCTAGACTACAAATAAATAATACTGCCATTTAATTTCATAACAACTTGAGTGCTTTTCAATTTGCAGTCAGCCTAGAGAAGAAGGCAGAAGCTGAGTAGCAGAGGTAAAAAACACTTTGACTTATGCTAATCTTCTAGGAATCTGTGTTACTCAAAGCCTAGCCACTTTCATCTCTTCTTTTAAAAACTCACCAAGAAAAGCTACTGCTAAATAATACTATATTTAACCCAAGGATGTTTCAAGCAAGGCTGGCTTATGTTTGAAAATTGTAGACTATTGCTTTCTAGCCTGGATTTTGCTAATAGCTCCACCACTGATCTCTGACAAAACCCACAAGCCAGGGAATGGTTACTGTCTCAGGATGAAGCATATGAAGGTTAGCCAACATCATCTATGAGCATTTGGGGAAAGAAAAGGAAGAATGAAGTAGCGATGCTTTCTACAGGTACTAGACCAGTTTAAGCAATGAACAACTAAGACTGCAAATAAGCGAGCAGTAACACGCCAGAAGAAATTCATCCTGGATAGAAGTTTGGTGATGCAAATAAATAAAACCAGCAATTTCTCACATACTTTCTAACTGTGAACTCAGGGGGGTTACACCTAACTTTAGACTATCCTATCCTATCCTACATGTTTTCATAAATCTCCAGTTTGGAAACAGGTACTTATGAAAGGGATGTTAATGCTACATGCAGTGTAGTTTACAGCACTATGAAAACATAGAAGAAAATTCAAATATTTAAATAAATACCTGCATTCTCAAATCCTATGTCACTTTTGGTTTTATAAAGACCAGACTATGTACATTCAAAGTAATTTTTCAGCCTGCCAACAGTAATGCTTTCTCCACAACTCCTCTGGCACTTGCACTCAAAACCAAACCAGATGCTAGCGCTGGGAAACAAAATCCCTTCAACGTATTTTTTGACTCTTTTAAATGTCTTCCTTTCCTAAACCCACTGGGCCGAAAGTTAAATATTCCCAACAAGGTAAATATTTATTTTTGACATCAAAATACCTGTAACTGTGATACTGCCTGTAGAAAAAATCTGTAAAGTAGCTCTGAGAGTTTTTATTCTGTAACACACGGCAGGATGAAGTTCTGGTTCGTAACTAGAAAACAAAATAAAAGGTAAAAAAGAGAGATCTAGAACTGAAAAATAAAAGCTTAAGTAATATACCAAGACTATGATTCGTAAAAATCCTACTGTACCTCGCATGAGGTCTGTTATTCTTCGTAAATTCTGGCAATCTGATCTCAAAGGGCATGTTGCACACTGCTAAAACATTCACAACTTTAAAATCTGTGAAAATTACCTTTTCAAAAGAGAAGGAAAAAAAAAAAAACACATAAGAAATTCAGTTTTCAGTGAGGCAGATGAATGGGTCATGAGAAAAAAGTTACAAGACTAGTAATTAGAATATTTTTATGAGATTTCAGAATAAAAACCTTGTGATTGATGCATTTCTAATAGGAATATAAACAGTACTTAATGGACTCAAATCACTTACTTTATTGCTTCAGCTAAGCATAAGTAAAAGGTGAAAATTGTTTTGTTTCAAATCTCCAGTAGCCAGTTTGGCAAGCTGTTTTTCTACTGTTACTTTCTGAAACCCTGCTGAAACTACTTGCTTTCAGTTACTCTTTACCACAGCCATTTTAGATGACAATAAAATAGCCAGCAGACAATTCCTAAACAAACAAATGCATTGCTGAGAAGTCACTGTTGGTAGTATCACTGAAGAAAATTTTGTTCATGCCCTGAGATTGCCTAAACTTAAAATGACTGTTCCTCAGTCAAAACTTTTTAGAAGGATCCTACCAATATAAAAGGTCAGCTATTAATCTTCAAAATATATTCCATTTGAACTGCTTGCTTTTTAATAAAACTTGGTGCATCCATCCTTGAAACACAGTTCACCTCACTGATTTAATGTTTCAGTCCAACATACGGATTCATAACAGTAAGTGTGTCTAAACTCTGCTTGGGTCTTGATGCAGTGTTACCTGGGCAGCCTGTCACCACAGCCTTCATGCACTACAATCAAAGGGAGCCTCTCTCTGTCAAAGGACAGCCACTATGTCTATTTGTCCACCTGTAAACTGAAACTGTAGGTAAACACCACAATTGACTACCAGGAAGTTTTAGAGTACTAACACACGTAATCTTTAGTCACTCAAGTTGCTGTTTTTCAACCTTTACTATGAATGTAAGTGGTGTTTTTGACTGGTAATATTAACACAAACCCAGGAAAAAATAAAAAAATAAAGGGGTTTCATGTCTTTAATGTTTTATTTGGCTTATTCCCTGATGTACAACCTCACAGCGCAGAAGCACTTTTTTTTTCCCTCCTCTTTAAATAACGAGGCTCAAACTTCCCCTTAACAAGACAGACATGTATCTGCTATCCCACCAGAAACAGGTAAAATTATGTTCAGATGACAGTTAGGTTTATACTCTTTGTTGCTCCTTCCAAATAAATCTTTCAAGATACTGTAATTCTACCCAAGAAACATCTGTGGGTGGTTCGTTTATTAAACAAATTTTGTTGTTCATTAGCCGGTAAAGAAGCACTACTATGAGCTGCCAAACAAAACGCAAATCCACAAAATAGAACAGCTTCTCTTTAACCAGCATCTGGAAAATGTATGTCGACACATAAGGGGCATCTGAGTGAAAACATGCTCACTGCTAAATCATTATGCTTCCTCATTTTTGTTTCTTTCTAAAAAATTAACTATCAGCATTGCATGAGTCATACAAGTCCTTTTTCATTAGATTTACCTGAAAACCTAGTTTCTGTAGACTACGAGCTAATCGTCTGGCACCAAATTTAGCTTCTTCTTCACTATAAAGGAGAAAGGAAAGAATCTAGTATTAACAGAAACAGTATATATTTGTGTGCACACATACCACAACAGCTACTCAGGACTACAAAATGAACCACTGTATCATGTAGCACATGAACCATGATCACATGGACAAATTTACTATTGCATCTTACCCTTACTCCACAATGCAGACATATCTTAAAAGTAATTCAGCTGTTATGAGTTTAGCAAGTCTCAGATCTATCTGAACTGAAAGTCTGATTTTGCTTCCTTCCACTCCCTTAACACTGTATAATTTGATTAAATTCTGGTGGTGTTTCATAAAAGAATAAGAGAGATCCCTCAAAGAAGGTCACCGTTTCCCAAGTTTCAAGTCCTGGCTAAAAACATAGCTTGAAGAGTTCTCAAATGAAATTTCTAAGATCTTCTTCATAACGTATTTTGCCTCCTGCTCTCCCAGAAAGCTGAAATGATGTTGCTTAAAATTTCAACTCAGTCTGAGGCAGACACTTCATATAGAAAACTTCCTTCTAGATATGTAACTTGGCAAGGATCAACATGAGATCCAGAGTGAGTGAATCCTAACAGTGGCAAGTACTGCCTTTTGCTACCATCTTCGTTTACAACATTATATTTTAAAATACACAAGAATTTAAGCTAGAGAAAGATTCTTCATCAACTCACCTTGTAGCTCCTGTGCAAATAACTTTTCCTGAGGACCAAATTGTGGCCGTAATCCTAGGTTTTCTAAGTTTCATTAATACCTTCTAAAAAGAAAAATACAAGTGGAAGAATTTGGAATTAGTGGCAGTTCAAGTCACACTGGGAAAAAAATTACATCAACTGTTAGACAAATTAACTGTTACACTAATAATACTTTCTTTGATAGCCTTGAACTGTTCCTTCACCTCTTTCAGTAATAAAATACAACTCTGACCCCGAGAAGAGCAAATAAGTGTGGAATATCTCAGCCACTGATTCAGTATTCACAAAACAGATTAAATGAAAGTACTTTCCTCTGAATAGAAAGCTGAAACCCACGAGCATTGTGCATTTTTTTTTTTTCCTTATTACAGTGACTCCCACATTGCTGACTCCTTATCAGGATGTATCTTCTTGACAAAGCCACCAAATTTTGGGAGGCAATTTTGGGACCCTGAAGTGCAAGAGGTCTCATCAGATACCTTGCACCAAGTATTCACCTCACTAGTTTCAGTCTTCTGAGACAATATTTACTCACTTCCCTTCTAGTGTTTGACAGACTAAATGCCTATCAAGACAGAAATACAGAAATAAAACTATGCTTTTCTCTATCCACCACACAGATATCAGACACAAGAATGTTTAGCTTAAGGAACATTCATAAAAAAAAAAAAAAAGATAACTGGGCTATGTTGAATCTCTTACCCCAACATCACGCTTGTATATCACATTTGCTCCTTCTAATGCGATCTTCCTCAAGTTTAAATGACATCTTGTTCTAAAAACACACACTACGTTTGTGATTAAAATGTCCAGTGCAACATCACTGTCCGCATCCATTGGGGTGATTTACAACTCAGTTTTCCCAGCAGCTCACCACAAAGACCACATCCTGAGAAACGAAAATGGTAAAATTAAACACACCAATAGAAAACTGCCTATTAACGCCATTGTATACACCTGTCCCTTAAATGAGACAAGCAGAAGTGACTAAAGTGACTACACTCTGATTCATTTAAATTAACTGTGTGTAGGGAGGGGGAGTGTCTGCATCCTGTATGCTAGAAAATAGGTTACTTTGGAGGTTTGAAGCCAATGTTGCCAGACTTAACAGAAATAAAGTGCATATACTTATATAAAAAATATATTAAACTTGCCACTTAATTACGTTACAACTTTTACCAACCATGTTAAGATGCAGTAAATATTACTAAAACTTTTTCCATAGCCTCAGTGGATAATCTTTCCTCAGCTCTTTTGAGGATATCAATAGACACCTCAGGAAAATGCACTTCTCTGACTGCTGAAGTTGATAATTCTGAACAGCTTGACATTTGTGTTGGAATGGATGAGCCTGCTTAATAATTCTAAACTAGCACAGCTTACACAAACTGCAGCCTGTAGGCAGTCTGCTACCACAGCTTTCCCATCTTCATCTAGCACTCTTGGCCTAGCTCTCCCAATATAATAGCATAATGGGAACTGCACAAAACATCCTGGTAGCAGCAACAGCATGGGCTGAGTCACGGTGGCCTCTCAGCCCCTCCTGCACTGCCCACAGGAACCGCGTAGAATGAAAGTACTGTACGTGCTGAGTGAAATCGAGTGTTTCCAAGGAAAAGCAGGAGTAACTGTGAAGGCACAGGATGACCACCCAGTGCACACACAGCAACCCTAAGGCAGCCAGGAAGCATCCAGTCTGCCAGGGCACATTGAAAGTGACACTCGTAACACACACTTCAACTCAGGGAGAATCATCATAAAACAGGGAGTTGGGCTACAGCTCAGCCCAGCTCCAGACTGCCCAACATCTCTTCTGTACATATACCAAAGCCAAGACAGCAGACATCTCAAACAAATCTCAGGTGAAGTATTTGGGGAAAGGAGAGAGGAAAAGAACAAGAACATTTGTATATAGTGAAAAGGACTTGTATCAAAATACTGTAGCTCATTAAAGATTTTTTCTTTGTAGAAGAATGTAAAAATCTTAGTTTTACTCCAGGACAAGTAGCTGAAGTAGAGCATAGTCCAAGAGACAGAGACAATACTATCTTGATCCATTAATCTAAAATTTTAGTTGTCGTGGTTTAAGCCCAGCTGGTAACAGAACCATGCGGTCACTCGCTCATTCCCTTCCTTGTTCCCCCCTCTCTCCAGGCACGATGGGGAAGAGAACCAAAAGAATGTAAAACCCACAGGTTGAGATAAGAACAGACCAATAACTAAAGTGTAACACAAAAATAATGTTACTAATAACAATAATAATCAGGGAAATAAGAAGAGGAGAGAATATAAAACTAAAAAGGGAAGGGAAAAAAACACAACAAACACGAGTGATGCACAATACAATTGCTCACCACCTGCCGACTGATACCCAGCCCGACCTGAGCAGCGATCTGGGCCTTCCAGGTGACTCCCCCAGTTTATATACTGGGCATGACGTGCTGTGGTATGGAGTAGCCCTTTGGCTAGTTTGGGTCAGGTGTCCTGTCTCTGCTTCCTCCCAGTTTCTTGTGCCCCTCCTCACTGGCAGAGCATGAGACTGAAAAGTCCTTGATCAGGGTAAGCGCTACTTAGCAACAACTAAAACATCGGTGTGTTATCAGCATTGTTCTCAGACTAAAGCTGAAAAACAGCACTGCACCAGCTACTAAGAAAAGAAAAATAACTGTTACAGCTGAACCCAGGACAGTATAAGGAAACCACGTCTCCGTGTTGCCCAGGCTACGCTGCAGTGGCTATTCACAGGCACAATCCTGCTAATGACCAGCACAGGAGCTTTGACCTGCTCCATCTCTAACCTGGGCCGGTTCACCCCAATCCAAAAGAAACACAACAGAAAGCAAAGAGGAAAATCAAAGAAAAATAGTCAGATATATGAAATGCTCTACATGGTTATTGCCATGGATGAAGCAGGAGACTATGCATCAAGAACAATATATGTAACTGTAGGGGGGTGTAAGCCAGCAGCTGCATGGTACTTAGTTGCTGTCTGCGTTTAAACCACAACAATGTCAGACTGTAACAATGCATTTATATCACTTCAAATGTTTTTGAACTTATGTCCCACATTAGAAATATTCAAGATACAGAATTAGCATTATTAACAGTACTTTCATCTGACTATGACTTCCTAAACACCATGCCATAGTTTCTAATTGAGAACTCACTCAAGGTACATCTTCAACTACAACTCAGTGACAATACGGAAGTAATAAACTACAAGGTAGATGTGCATAATATACTGGGGCCAACTGCTGTGCTGGTGGCTGCTTTTACAAGGCAGCTTGTTCCCAGCTGAAAGAATTATTCTGTTCTTGCCAGCTTGTCCAATATAAGAAAAGGCAAGATGGATGATAACAGAAAAGAAGAAACAGCAAGAGAAAACCAGAAAAACCAAAGGCTACATGTGGGGGTGAGGGGGGGGGGGAAGCAGCCAAAGAAGAGAACAAACAGTAACTAATTAGTATTCCCAGATCCCTTTAAAAAAAAATAAAAAAAAAATATGAATCCTCAAAGTTAGAAATTACTTATCCCATCTGGTTTTGATGGACTACTACAGATTGGGTTAGTAATTTATGGCACCAGATCCAAAGATAGCACATGTGCAGATTTTGAGAGGCATTTGGATTCACACTGGCTCTAATCCTGGTTCTTGCCAAGTTCACTTACTGGAACCCAGGAATGACTATCATGTAAGAAAACAAGATAACTCCAGTCAGCAGTGTCTCCCAATTATCAGCAAGTTTCTACTGGCACTCTCAGCCTCTACATTATGAAAGAATACCATCATCATGCATAACATCCTTGAAAGGCTGATAACCTCTAAGCAACCCATAATACTGTATGATAATGCCCCCATAAAAATTTGATGGCTTGTCTTAAACAGATCGGGGGAGAAAAGTCACATGTTTGATCAGAACAAAGGAAAAAAAAAGGTTGAAAGAGAGGGAAATTACAATTTAAAAGGAAAAGACCTATCATTAAAGGGGCATCTACAGGAGAAAATAACATTAAGATGCTGTGGAGCTGTCAGTAAGGATGTTTTCAGCATTATGGTGTAGCTTGGTTAGATATACAGTCTACTTGCATAGATTTTAATGGAAGAAAAATTACAAATTAATGTGCTCACATTTTCATTAGCCATGTTCTGAAAGTTCAGGACAACAGGTATTTTATGGAGAAGCTCTTTAATTTGGAATTTAATTTGAGCTGTAGCTAATATTCTAGACATGCTTTGTGACATTCAATTAAAAACGGATATAATTTGTTACAGAAGCAGTATCTGAACAAAGCATAAAAATACTGAAAAGTGCCTTTATTCTACTTTAATGGCATGTGATCTAATAGAAGTATTCATTTGTTAAACTCTTCTCTCAAATATTAAACTATTCAAATATTAATTACCAGGTTTTCCTCATTTGTATTGAGAAAACTCTTACTTGCTCTTGCCCCTGTTCTTTAAGAACCTGAATTTGTGTCAACAATTTTAACTACATCCATTCCCATTTAGTATACAAATACAGTGTCAACCTCTTCCAAGGCATGGTTGAGAAATACCAAGTAAACCAAAATGCTTCTAGACTCGGATACTTCTGTCCAAGCAGTAAATGAGCATAACCTATTACAACCTCTGCCTTAAACATTCATTTTAATGTCTCACACTGTACTGACAACAAAGAAAAGACTCTAAAGAAGAGGCAGCCTGTTGCCTTTCTTTGGGAAGTCTCAAAGAAAACCAAATTCATAGGAGCCATGTGAACTGAAAGAAGCTAAACATTTTCTAAAAATAATACATGCACTCTATAAAAGTAACTTCTGAAGAACATGTTTATAAAAAAGGCGTAACAATGTCACCTTAAAAAAAAAAAAGTTATTATTTATACACATCTGCAGCAGCATGACTAGAACATGACTGGAACACAAGAGTCCTAAACAATATTCTGATCCTCCTCTTTCCCAGTTTTCTCATCTTCTCTGCTACTGATACACACCACTGTACCCCTGCTGTGTAGCCCTGACCCATTATGTTATTTCCCAAAACCTGCATTTCTGTCTCCTATCTGCAAAACGGGGAAAATAATGCTTCCATGCTTTTGGAAATACATTCTGAGATCAAGCAACAGCGTTACATATAAGCCTGTTTTTATTCTATATTCATGCAGTTACACTTGCAGAACAGAGTGTCTGAGTAGAAACCAAACATGTGGTTCTTTCCAGTTCCGGATATGCAAACAGCTAAGTTGATTTTATTGAGCTTAGGTTTTCTTGATTAATTTCGCCCAAAGATTTTCTCGTCTGAACCTTAGACTTACGGCAGCTTAAATCTCATTTCTAAAAATATGTTTTGTCAGTTAATGCTAATTTAATAATAGCCTAAAATTGAAAATAACATTATTTACTTCTTTGTATGTACAGAATTTGTAATAAATTATGTACTTCATTGAGCTTTCTCCTGCACAAGAAACTAGCCAACTTTGATTTCAAGTTCTCTTGCACCAGCCTAACACAATGTACTCCAACTGAGAAAAAAAATCTTAAATACATCTCTGCAGAAGTTTGCATTATTTTATCATGGACATTTAAAAAGATTGTTCTTTCTTTTCAACATAGACTTTGGGGATACATCTGGAATATTACCCTAAGGGGAAAAAAAATGAGGGGGGGGGGGAAAAGGTAGATGGGTAAAGCATGAACACAAAAATAAAAACAACAACAAAAGCTAACTAGCTAACTCAGGATACTTGACACTGTAAAGCAACATATTCTACACTGAAACTAGAGAAACTTCCCAGAACAATAAACAGGAGGAGGAACGAGCACTCAAGTTCTTAAACAAAGCATTACCCATACATCCTCTGTTAGGACCAGGGCCATACTATTTTAGATATTAT